CTGTGTTGTTTAGTAAAGTCAGTTATTCTGTGTAATCCTCACAATATGTGTGGGTTTTGAGTTCAGAAACAATGATTGTGGTGTCGTTTGAGTTGGCTGACACTTTATGACAACATCAGTAGATTGAATTGAAGAGTATTACTTATCAGGAGAGCTACAGACCTGAGTTTTGTGGGCGGAAGTACTCTTCAGTTGTAAACAGTTGACTTTTCGGCTAAACATGGATTGCATTTCTGGGTTTAATCTGTATCGATTGATGTCACTTGATAGTGAGTATGTTCCAGAAGGTTGTTAGTTGGAAGACTGCTACAGCATGTTGATTAAGTGTGAAATAAAAACGTAGATCTTGCTACTACTGTAACCAGTGACCCTGGACTACTAGCCTGACTTTGTTTCGGCCTATTTGGGAACTCTCCAGCAGTACACGCCCACTGAGACTCGAACCTAGGGCCCCTCAGTTACAAGGTGAGCTCTTAGACCATTAGGCCAGGTTTTCCAAATGTTCTCCAACGGACGCTGGTTTTGATGAAAGCCTGTCATCACCAGTGAAATCCCTTCTGAGCAGTACTCGAAAATTAATTATTTAGACAAAGCAATAAGAAGACGTAATTTGTCTGAATCGTGTAATGTTGTATTTGCGGAACACTCATTTCGGGCAATGTGATTAAACACGTTTCTGTCATAAGAATATTGATAGATGAAATTAATAAAGAGTTAAGGCGTGAGAGAATAAGCATAGGCGAAGTTTGAAAAAAACTGGTGGCACATTTCACTGTATTTACCAATTTACATATATATATATATATATATATATAGTGAGGACGCATAGCTCTCTGCAAGTAAGGACTTCACAGAATATTGGCTTGATAAGCTAATGGAATCCCCAAAAGTCACCGATTGATTTTGAGAACGGACGACTTAGCTCTTCTATTGCGTAAAAATAAAATTGTTATTTACACACGTCTTTTAAACCCGTTCATGAAACCTGTTTGAGTCGTGTCCGAAAGTTTGTGGAAGCCCTAGCTGGCAATTAAGAAGCTTAAACCATATTTATGTGTTCTAAAATCGATTCGTCATCACAGTTAACCTTCTTTGGTAAAGTTTGTTTTGATACCATAGAGGATGTACTATTACCTCTGTTATTTGGTTTATTGATTTTTTTTCAAAAGTTGGTTTGCAAAGATTAGATTTGGTTTTACGAGTTTGATCACACACGGATCGATGTCAGTTAGAGAACCACTGAAAACTCACCATGGAGTACTGGACGGCTGTTTCGTCGTAGTACCAGATATATTGGCAGTACGTATCCAACACAGGGGTTCGAAACCAGGACCTTCCGGTGACAAGACAAGCTCATTGAACATTCAGGCACTGGGACTCGCCCAATTGAATGGCCAGTGCATGAATTCTAACTGCTACCAATTTGTGATTTAGTGTGACTGGCACCAACCAATTTCGTCGGCGGGAACTCTATCCCCACACGTAACATCTGGATGGACCTCACTGGTCATGACTTCTAACCAGAACTCCAGGAAACTCCGTCCGTCCTGTAGCAAGTCACTAGAGAGCATCACATTAATTTTTGAAAGTTTTGTTTGTAAGGATTAGATTTGGTTTTACGAGTTTGACCACGGATGGATATCAGTTAGAGAACCAGTGTTATTTTGACCTTCAGTATGTCCTTTTAATTTGACCTGTGTCTGCTTTCTCACCTCTTAACTCTTTATTATTTTCATATATAAATATTCCTATGACAAGTTCGTGTTTGGTCAGATTGTTGGAAATAAGTGTTGCGCAAAACAACCTTACATGCCATTCAGACAAAATACGTCTTCTTATTGTTTTGAATAAGGCATTTAGAAGACAAATTTCGTGAGAAGATATCGTTATTTCGTAGTTTCTTTACAACCTCTTCACAACTAACATGGTTAACAATAATAAAATAAAATAAAGTTCATGACAATTACTCAGTTAAATAAAAAACATAAGTACATACTAATGACCAATCATATTTAAAAAAGGTCAAGTAGTCAGTCCATGGTAGGCGAAGATTGAAGTCTATTGATTTTTGCACACAGTTTAGGCTGTGTGTGATTAATCCAAAGTGCTCCCGTCCCCTTCAATAACCAACCTTGAATTACAGTTATGTGATGAAATAATTGTGAAACAGTCATTAATATTGATTTTGTGACCTGACATTAATAAGTGATTAGCAATGGATGATGATGCTGGATTTCTATTCAGATTGCTCGCATCGGGATTTTCTACATGATTTAGTAACCATTTTGGAACAGGTTCTTTTACACGACCACATTGAAACATTCTATTGGTTCTACCTATATAGGGGTCACCGCAGCTGTAGGTGAACTTGTAGATACAGTTTGAAGTAGAGTCAACAGAATTTCGTCCTTTAATCGTAGGTACAGGGATCGAAAATGTTCGGCAATTGAGAAAAAGAGATGCGGCACAGAATGTGCGTTTGATGGCTAATGGTTATCCAGAAAACTTTCTCACTTGTCACAGTAAAGAAAGACCATATCTGGAAAAGACAGCTTCTATACCAAAAAAGCTATCTTTATTGACCTACCATTCAAGGGTGACCAGATTATGCAGTTGACAGGTAGCTCAAAGACTTTGGTCAGCCATAAGGCGCATATTCTGCGCCAAATCTGTTTCCCTCAAATCTCGAACATTTTTGATCTCTGTACCTACGATTAAAGGACGAAATTCTGTTGACTCTACTTCAAACTGTATCTACATGTTCACCTGCAGCTGCGGTGACACCTATATAGGTAGAACCAACAGAATGTTCCAATGTCGTCGTAAAGAACAAGTTCCGAAATGGTTACTAAGTCATATAGAAAATCCCAATGCAATTAATCTGAATAGAAATCCGTCATCATCCATCCATTGCAAAACACTTATTAATGTCAGGTCACAAAATCAATCAATATTAATGATTGTTTCACAATTATTTCACATAACTCTAATTCAGCGTTGGTTATTGAAGGTGATGGAAGCACTTTGGATTAATCACATACAGCCTAAACTGTGTGTACAAAAAACAATAGACTTCAATCTTCGCCTACCATGGCGAGTATACTTGACCTATTTGAATGCGATTGGTCATTCGTATGTACTTTTGTTTTTTAAATAATTGAGTAATTGTCATAAACTTCATTTTATGTTATTATTGTTAACCATGTTAGTTGTGAAGAGGTTGTAAAGAAACTACGAAATAACGATATCTTCTCACGAAATTTGTCTTCTAAATGCCTTATTCAAATTTATCAAAGGGACTAATTGTTTTAATCTTATTGCTTTGTTTAGAAATTTAAAACAATTAGTTGCCTTTATGAATTTAGATAAAGCAATAAGAAGACGTAGTTTGTCTGAATCGTGTAATGTTGCTCAACAATTATTTCGAACAATCTAATCACACTCGGACTTGTCATAGGAATATATATGAAAATAATAAAGAGTTAAGAGGTGAGAAAATAAAGTACACAGGTCAAGTTTAAAGGACACATTCAAGGTCAAAGCAACAATGAAGACCACTAAACCAAATAACAGAGGTAATAGTACATCTGCTATGGTATCAAAACAAAATTTACCAAGGAAGGTTTAATGTGATGACGAATTGTTTTCGATGAACGCATAAAGGTGGCTTAAACTTTCTAATTGCTAGGGCTTCCACAAACTTTAGGATACGCCCCAAACACGTTTTATAGATAGGTTTAAAAGATCTCTTAACGTCAATTTTATGTCCTGTCTCTATAATATGTTTCGCAATAGAAGAGCTAGGTCTCCTTTTCTCACCGTTAATAGGTTCTGAAGATTCCATTTGTTTCTGGAGCCATTTAGGAATATGCTCTGAAACCAGCACTTACTTGCATAGATCGATGAGTCCTCCCTATGTATGTGTGTCCACACGTACATTCAAATTGGTAAATACAGTGCGATGTGACGTCATTTTTCTCATGTTCGAAGGGTTTGGTCGGTCGGTCGGTTTTCGACATAGAACTTTGCACATATGTGCGCCAGTTCAAGTCGCCACAATCCATATAGCACGCAAAGCAACAGAAGAAAGTAGAAGAAATGAATAATATAGACAGTAAACAGATGTGTGAGACAAAGGAATAGTAGTAACGGAGAACAAAACAGTTTAATTGGGAATCATAAGTCACAAGGAGTGGATGCATCTGCGCCACTGAGAACGACTTTGAGCCATGTCACCAATTGTTTCCAACCATTGGTTTTTACCATCTCGAGGACCCCAACCAGTCAGGAAGTCTACACCTTCCTACGTGGCTTAAATTAACTGTTGTGGATTTCATTGATTGGTGCCATGTTTTCGTTTGACCGTTTTAAGGGTTTAGAGAGATATATTGGCTTTACATTCTCTATTATTATGACATTGGCTGCATAAAAAGTCTTTTTGACAGCAGCGTTCAGTCTTTGTCTAGTTATCAAGCTGTTTTGATGCCCCATATAGGGTAGCTTGATGTACACGTCTTTCTTAGGGGCGAGTTGGAGAGTGGGTCTTGGTGTTCTGACTACTTTTTATCTCCTGATGAACTTGTCTGGATAATTGTTATCAACCAGAGTTTGTGTCAACTTTCTTTCTTCCGCATCAAGTGTGTCTTCAGTGCATATTCGTTGGATTCTACTGAAGAGGCACCTTATTAAGGCTCTTTTATACCGAACAGGGCAAAAACTGTGGTAATTAAGATACTGTCCTGTCCAGGTAGTTGTTCTATAAATAGATCTTTTTATTGACCCATCAAGCCGTCGACTAAGCAATATGTCTAGGAAAGATAAACAGTTATCTTCCTCTTCTACAGACAAATGTAAGTGATATGCTGTTTTGGACTTCATTCATTCGATTTAAAATTGAGGTGTGTGATCAGATTGTTCGAAGTGTGTTGCGCAAATGCAACATTACACGATTCAGACAAATTACGTCTTCTTATTGCTTTATCTAAATTTATAAAGGGTACTCACTGTCTCAAATTAATTATTTATTGTGGTTTTTATACATTATAAGTAAAAAATACAGGAATCTGTTAAATAATCAATTAATTATTTAGTTAGTTAGTTAGTTCGTGAGTGAGTGAGTTACTTAGTTAGTTAGGATCCCTGTGATTTCTTTTTCATTCGTTATCTGTTATGTATTGATTTCAGAGTTCTCAATGTCGCCTTCTCCTCAATGAGCACTGTTTTTCGCCGCCATTTTCGCTTTTTTTTCTAATTGATATGTAAAAGTTTTTTAAATGCATTACGAAATTCCAAATTGAATATAGTATAGATGACTGGATTCAATGCTGAATTCACATAACCAAGCCATGTGCATGAGGACATCAAGCTACCAGCCGTTTCACAAAACCCGTATTGATCTGGTCCAAGGTAAATGCATAATCCAAGACTGACATTGATTGAAAAAAATGGTAACCAACAGGCAAGAAAGACACCTAGAGAAGGGAAAGAATAAAAATTCTATAATAATATTAATTAATAATATTAATAATGATAATAACAGTGTTAATATAATGTAGCGAATTTTAAGCACAGTTTGTTCCATGATATAAAAAGTCAATCTGAACGAAGAATATTCTTTTCAATAATTTCTCTTCAGGTTCTTACAACTATAAAATATGCAATATTTGTTGTCGTTACAATAAAGGCCAGTTATGCGGCAGATACATTTTTTAACGTAGAATAACAGATTAGTTATGGGTTGTCAAAATAAATAGTCGTATTTGTGTGACAAACGTGCTCTGGGCTGAAATCAATTACAAAATATTGTAAAATGGGAGACAATGGTGGTGATTAGTCATAATAGATTTGTAGAATATTGTGGGGTAGGAAAATTGACAAGTCAGTTCAAGGTTATAAAAGGTGTCAGGTGAGTGAGTGGCTAGCACAAAGTGGTCTGTGTTAAACAGGAGATAGTAAGACTGCAGTGGGAGGTTCATAATGAAATAACGAATATGTGAAATGAAACAGGTGGAGGCATATATTGAGAAAAGAGATAATATCACTAATAATAATAAGTCCGGGTAGTATAAATGGAAAATATGATAGTATTGAGAGAATGTTTGCATGAATGGCATAAATTATGACAATAATAATAATATTGGGGCACAACCCAGGTGCGTCACCCTAGTGAAATAATTACTAACAAGTTAAGAAAATGTGTTGAAAGAACTTTTAATGCTGGTAAACTGCAAGTCATATTTTCAACACGACCGATGGCGATTCCTCAATTGAAAGATGAAGTACCTAGACTAGATGAGCCACTTCTAATTGTATCTACCAATTCAACTGCACTTGTGGTGGAGCGAGTTTTATCGGCCGTTGCTCTAGGAACCTGATTTATCGTGCTCACTCGAGAACACCTCCCAGTATGGCTAAGTAAAGGTGTAGTAAAAATCATCAACAGTTCGATATTAGACCGCCTGGTTCAAACCAGCCACAAAATCAGCATTGAAGAATCATTCTCTACCATCATTGGTTGTGAACGCCATTGTCACCACCTTAAAATTTTGTATTATGCAGGATTACTCACACTACCACCACTACAAACACTGCATTAGACCTGATAATAAAAAAACAAAACAACAACCCTGAAATGTTATTTTATGATTGTTTAGTGTTGTTCAATCAAGTTAACTGTTCATCTTTGCGATAAACATTCTTAAATATCATTTCATAACTTCTTGTATGACTACAGCTTTACTGTCACCATGCATGGTCATATCATAGCTTCCACTACCCAATACTGAGATATTATTATATGCTGTTTATTTTCCTTTCTACTTCTTGGTATTTTTTCGGACTTTTTATTATTTTTGTGCTTTTTTTGTTGTTGTCTTTATATTTATGTTTTGAAATACTCCTTTTAAATGTTTGATAAAATTAGTTGCAAATATTGTAGATATGTGCTGAAAATTCCACACTGTACCACTAGTACTGTTTCTGAAATAAAGCAAATTATTATTATCTACCGGGTACCAAATAAATTGCCAAAAACATCCAGGTACCGTATCCAAACAACATAAACTATAGGGATTCGCCTGCAACAACCAGTGCTTTGTGTGCAAAGGAAGCAATTTCAGCCAATACTACTGCCCTGACCAGTCTTCAGTAGAGACTCTAAGTTCATGAATTTGTATTGTTAATTTTTTGCTGATTTTTCTGACATTCAGTTTATTGTTATGTTGATGCTATTAAACTGTATTCTATTGGTTTTATTATTGATTCAATACTAATTTAAACAATAGTTATGCCAGTAATAAAACTAATTCATTCACTTCTAATATGTATATTTAACTGTAGAACCTGACAATGAGGAAGTTATCGGAAATTCACATTCTTTGTTCAGTAATTAGTCTTTTGAAAATATTTTAAATGGGCATTTCTAATCAGTAACAACACAGATTTGTAGGATAATATGAGCTCCTTTTTATTTCGTCGATTCTTTTCAACTGTCTACATCCTAAGCAACAGTATTAAAATATACAAGCTACAAAACTTTTTTTCTGAATATACTTTTTTTCTCACAGTGATATGAAAATGACAATCAGTTCCACCTTTCTAGATCTCAACATAAAATAGGGAAATGGTGAAACGGTTGAAAAAAACTGTCGATAGAAAAGAAATTTGAACTGGTCAATATTGAAATTATCACAATTTTAGTCCAGTAGGTTACAACACAAAGCCTGAACAAAAAAGCTTCTCAGCAGAGCTGGAATGTAATGTTCAGAAAATTGGGATGAAGAGGAGCTTAGAATTATTGATAGGAACTTTATGGAAAAGAGGAGCGTTGAAAGTTTATATTGGAATATGGAAGAGAAAAAATGCCCACAAGAAGCAAAGGAATATTAAGAGGAAAATTTCATACTATCAGACTCTTTTCACTTTACAATACGACATGTTCATTAAATCAATCAAAAGTCGGTAGGTCTCCTCATGATATCAACTGTGGGTAGGCCCACTTCTTTTCCTGATTTATGTTAATAAGATTCCATCGGTAGTTAAGTCATCCAGCTTACTGTTTGCTGATGACATCAAGATATGGAGGGCTTTACACGATGACGGTGATCAACTTGCTTTGCAGGAAGATTTAAACTTGTTAAGTGATTGGTGTAAGCACTGGGCCTAGGAGATTAACTTAAGCAAGAGTGTAGTTATGCATGTATCTCATAGTCACGTGCACAATTACTCAATGAATGGCATTACTCTCCCAGTGGTCACTGAGTACAAGGACTTGGGAGTGGTTGTGCAGCATGACTTGAAAACAGCAACAAACTGTAGAGCTGCAGCCACTAAAGGTTTTCGAATATTATGGGCCATACGCAAAGCTTTTGCGAATTTTGACGCTGAAATATTTCGTATATTATATCTGACTTATATCAGACCTCATTTGGAATATGGGATCCAGGCAGCGAGCCCGTGTTTCAAATACGAAATAGACTTATTAGAAAGGGTGCAAAGAGTAGGAACTAAGCTAATAAAGGGTTTCTCAACCCTCTCATATGAAGAGAGGTTAAGTCGACTGGGTTTATTTCCACTGTCATACAGACGACTTAGGGGTGACCTAATACTAGCATACCGTATCCTAAGAAATTATTTTGGAGCTAATTTATCTAATTTATTTCTTCCTTCTAGCACCACCCAATTGCGAGGACATCACCTCAAGGTTCAAAAACCACGGTCGAATCGTCTGCGTTTGGAGATCCGTTTTTCGCATCTAATTGTGAACCATTGGAACTCCTTACCGGAACACGTCGTATCAGTGCCATCAGTTGATTCATTCAAGGCGAGACTGGACCTGCTGTGTGCAACAAATCGAAAGGATTAGCAAAGGCATATAGCCTACTATCTTAAATAAATTGTAAACTGTAAACTCAAAATGCATTTAACAGTTCAAATACACTTGTGGCAGCAAGTACATAGAAAGGATCGAGAGAAGATCGTTCGCTAGATTTTGTGAGAAGATTTTTAAATGTCTCCATATGAAAGGTAGCAATGTGTTTTGAAGTGCGATTGCCAGACATACGGGAAATATCATGGAAATTGTTCATGTTCTCAAAATAATCAATATACAGAGAAAATCATGATTACTTCTGTTCTCAGAGGCCACTGACATTAAAAGATCTAGTGACTAATCGTTCACTACCCTGCTAACCGTGACTCTTTTTTTCGTCTGTTTTTGTGTCTTTTTTCTGTTGCATAACATTCCATTTTGATGCTCACTTACTTACTGAGTTGAACTCATTATTAAGTTTTTCGAATCTACTTAATTGTTTTGTTTACCTTATAATTTAACTTTACTTTCACTCCCACCCTCCTGAACTCTCCATAATAATATGTATAAATTTACTGTGTTGTTCGGTCTTTTGTGTGTTGTCTCTAGTCTATCCTTATTTCCAAGATAACGCAGACGTCATTTTGAGGTGCGTGAAAGAAAATGAAATTTCAACGCTTCCAATCATCATTCTTAATCATAACATTATGAATAGGACAGCTTAAATTTGTCTAAGATGGCGTCGGTGGCACAGTGGTTAGGACTCTCGCCGACCATGCACATGGTCCGGGGTTCGATCCCCTGCCGGCGCACACCCGATATCTATGGTCGGCCTGCGAAATTTGGGCTACCGATATCCATGCTGAAAATGTCATACTTGTACTGAAAATACAGCGTGGCATCAAGCTGTAATCAAAAATAAAAATAAAATAAAATAAATAGTACAGACAGAACATATGCGGTATGGATCAGTTATAGACTGTGAGATTTGCATCATATATCAGCAACAGAGATCTCTGGGAGCGAACCAACCAGGAACCGATTGTCCAACAAATAGGCAGGAAGAAATGGAGATGGATTGGCTATACTCTGAGGAAACAATGCATCAAGTGACATCACTAGACAAGCCATTGCTCGAGTGGAACCCGAAAGGGAAGCGGTGAGTTGGTCGTCAGTGCAAGGGTGACTTGGAGGAGGTCATGTGAAGACGAGATGAAAACGTGTGGGAAGACATGAAGCCAGGTGAAGACTCTAGCAGTGAATATGATACATTAAGCCATTTTTGATGATCTCGATTATGGATATTAATTAGATTCAATTTCATAAAAGTTTTCTTACTGAAGCTGTACTGGTTAGGGAAACACTCATAACCAGGAAGCTTTGAACAACTGTTTCGTCTCAGTTAGAGACTCTTCACAGTAAACACCTATGACACCCACCTAGGGAATAAATCTATATTTTTCAGTTTGAGAGATGCTATTGACTTAGACTCCTAAGTCGCAGGTAAATCCAGACGACGAGTCCCAAATAGGACGAAATGCTCACTTTGGATTCCACTGCTAACCACCATCCACCAATTAAGTTCTAATTACATGCCTAGATATCGTCAAAGCATCTGCACAAGAAGCCGACATGTCAACCTGAGACCGAGCACTTCGGTGCAATCAATCGACTGGAAAATCTAAAATTCAATAAAATAATTTATATGACCCGTGGCCCAAGTGGTCTAGTGGATAACGCTTTGTCATTTGAAACTATGGGCACTAGGTTCGAGCCTCGGTAGGAACATCATCGCTCACTGGGGAATGCAGGTACATCCAGGTGACGAGTCTCATATGGGACGAAAGGCGCATCCTGGATTCCACTGCTAGTCACCATCCACTAATTAAATTCTTACTTCTGTCAGTTTGTAATACAGTGTCATCACCATCCATTGTTATGTAGGTGAGTATATGTTAAAAATCTTTCATTAGATTTTTAGGAACTACATCCCTTAATTATCATGTCTCATCGACTCGTCAAGCAATCTCCCTTGAAATCAGCTGAATGCTTCTACAACAGTCTCAAGGCTTTGAAATAAATGTTTCTTTATTCTACGCGTTCCTGGTGGAAAATGAGACCCAAAGCTTCGGTCTCGAAGTTTCGGGAGCAGTGGTTTTACCTATTTTTACGAGATGGGGTCAGAGAACTGGTGGTTAACCCATCGTTAATACAGGATGTTGAGGAGTACATTCGCTGAGGGGTCGAGTCCTGGGCCACGTGAGACATTGTTAGCGAGTATTCTACAGCAGAACCACCAACGCACCGAAATACTTACTAATTATGTATGTCGGGTTTTAACTTCCTTAGAAAGGGATTAAAACAAATGGGGATATATATATATATTAATAACTAATTGAAAATTTAAACGCCTCCTGCACTGACTGCCTACATTCTAATAAGTATAAATCTAATAAGTGAGTCTTTTTCTATGATTATGTAATCGAAATGAGATTTAATGCATGAATAATTCAAATTCATCGAAAACAATTTTATTGTAGAAATCTACTTGTAAATAGTTTATTTCATTGTAAAAGTGTCTAGTCGTCTAATTATTTCTTATTAGCGTAGAATTTCACTATTTAAAAGGTCTTCACGACTATTAGTACACATACTAAGTCGTCCTTTTAAAGGTAATATAATAAATCGTTAAATGTAGAGGAAATTAAATCTTCCATTCATTGAAATATCAAATCAATAGCCAGGATTTCCTTCGTATGAACTGTAATCAAAATCTGAGCAAATAGTCCCACAATATTTGGGTGGCTTACTTGTAACGACAGAAGACAAGGGCCAGGCAACAGATCGTTTCTCGAGAAAATCAAGAGTTATTTATAGATATTTAAGTACATTATTGTTTGTGGAAAAGTAACCTCTTGTGGTTGGTTGTTTTATTTTTATTTTTCCTTCACGTTTCCCAGTGGAACATAGGGCTTCAAGCTAGTGGCTTGAAGTTTCTATAGCAGTGTTTATTTTACAGGATGAGGTTGCTAGCCTCAGACCCAACCTTTCCTCTTCATCAGCATTATTTCTGGCTTAGTGAGGTAGAGGAGTGCGTCGGCCGGGGATCGAACCCCGGACCATGTGCATGGTTGGCTAGCGTTCTAACCGCTATGCCACCGACGCACCTCTTCTGATTTGACCGGCGGTAATAATATCTTCCATATTTCTGTTATTTGCGTTGAGTCATTTCTGTTGCATGTATTGGGTGTAGACTCAATGAAAAAGGATTCCGTAATCAACCTCTCTCTCCACCCACCTATGTTACTCTTTAGAATTTTAATCCTATCCCACTCTATTTTGTGGTTGTTTGTTAATGCGTGAAGTGCAGTTGCTGAACTTTTTTCTAAATTACTTATCTTTTCAGGGTCAACCATTCTTCCCTTAGCTAAATTCTTATGTTCTGATAATCTGACTACCCCCGACCTACTAGTCTGACCTATGTAATTGACTTCACAGTCATTGCAGGGTATTTTGTAAATTATATTATTTTGTTTAATTATTATTTACTCTTCATAAAACTTACCTAAAACAATAGCCAATGTTTTCGTCGCTTTTTTCTCTTTTTGTGACAGAACATTCTTATTTCTCGTTGAAGTATATTTTGGACTATTGTTAAGACATTGTTTCCGTGTAGATTTCCCACTACTTGAATCTAAATCCACTGGAGATGTTGGAGAAGGATCGATAGTAGTAATATCTGTCTTCTGATTATCCATTTTACTACTGAAATTTCCTCGAGAACTTTTGTTTGAAGTAATTATAGTTTTTTGACTACTGTTATTATTATGATTATTATACCGCTTGTTTAAATTTTGTGATTTAAAACACTTCGATTTACGCGCTCGATGTAAATTTCGCGCAATTATCTGATTACTTTGTTTAAATTTATCATTGAATAATGATAGATATTTACAGAATTCAATGCGAAAATTAAATTTCTTTTTTTGTGATAAATTTGTTTTAATCTGTTTAACTTTCACTGTTCTAGTATGACAAATTTTATTATGATTAATAAGATCGGTTTTATAAACATCACCATTTGGTGTATGATTTATGTATTGTTGGCAGAAATTTTCATCTGGTTGACATCTATACTGAAATACAATTGACTCATTATGATAATCATCAATACAATTACATAATTCATTAAAATTATATACACAAAAAGATTTTGAGCTGATTTCATTACGACAAAGTTCACAAATAGTAGTAGTATTTTCATCAGTGAATAACAATCCTTCATGAATATCTTCGTCGTAATCTTCTTCTTCATCATCAACATCATCATCATCATCGTCTTCTTCTTCATTGTCACTGTCAGTTATTGTTGCTGTACATCGATAATTCTGCTCAGCTGAATCATTTCTAACCTGTACATAATCGTCATCTACAGCATCTGCTGAACTTTGTCCAATACATTCACTAATCTGTGGCCAAGAATATTCTGCATCACTTGATGAGGATATTGAACTGCTATGCGTTTTTGTACAATTTAAACAAGTTTTGATTCTTGGTAGAGTAAATAAATTTATAATATTTGATGATTTAAGAGGGATTTGATGTTGACATGATGATTTATGTATCTCTGAAAGATTACTGTTATTATAACTTACATTATAATCAGGTATACGTTGAATCATTGAACATGGTGTATTCGGTGTTTGAACTGATAATTGAGAATTTCCTATTGGCATATGTACAGTAAGATTAGGCAAACTTTGTTCTTCCTCCCGGCGATCTTTTTCTTCACCATGTTCTACAATGCATTCTTTACCTAAAGATGACCTTGAAGGTGTATTTTCAGTAGATAAACTATCATAATGTTCAAGATGACAACATGTGAAAGTGATTTCATTATAATCTTCTATTGCAAACGGTGAACATAATGATGAGGCTGATGATGATCTACTTGAGCTACATCTCACATATTTTGGTGATTCAAAGGATTTTAAAATTTTTAAATCTATTCTATCAGGTATAATAAGTGAATCATTGTATCGATTATCTACACTATTCAAGGTTGTTGCAGCTGGGACTGAATTCTGATTGGTTACTTTTAAATAATCAATAGAGGTAGTCTGATTACAAGGTAATATGTATCGATCTAAATTATAATTTAAATTTGGTGATGGTATATCTAAACGAGGGCCTTCAAAATGGATATCATCAGAGAGATTTTCAGTTATTCCTTCTTCTTCCTCGATGAATTCATGATCTGATTGTGTAAATGAACTTATTGTACAATTATAATCACTCGGAATCAAGTGTGAAGGTTCTTTTTTATCTATTCTAGTAAGTGTAATCGCAGTTGCTGCCGTTGTTGTTGTCATTGTTGTTGTTAATGTGGGATATTTATTCTCCAAAAGATTAATTTCCTGATCTGAATTATTTTTACTATGAATTTTATTTTTTACTTTTAAATTATTTTGTTCTTTATTTGAACTTGTAATGTCAGTTAATTGAATTGTTGAGGAGTCATTGAATTGATGTTGTTTTAATGAGGTTTGTTGTTGCTGATGTTTTCTAGATTGTGATTTGTTCTGCTGGTGGTGATGATGTGATGGTGTCGGTGTCGGCTGTTGTGGATGATGTGCTGATGTTTGTGTTAAACGCAGGGACTTATGACGTTGTTTAATCAGTGCAAATATACGTTGATATACAACAATTAATATTATAGCTGGTAAATAAAATGAGCCTAATGATGAACATATGATGTAGAGAGCATTAAACGATTGACATATGGTTGGATCCTTATGCGTATTAATATTTAGACCGCAGACTAGCGGGATAGCTATTAAAAAGGAGACAATCCATACTAAAGCTATTGAGATTTGAACTCTACGCATGTTGTTATGCTTTGCATAAACAATTGGTTTTGTAACAGCTAAATACCTGAATGAGAAAGAAGAGAAAGAGTAAAGACAAAAATGGATGAATAAACTTCAAGAGTATAAATGGAAATTGTCAAAAGAAAAAAGAAAGAAAGAAATGTCCGTCCTTCTACGGACAAGGCAGAAGTAGGGATTGTAAATACTTCTTTTGTGCACAAAAGTCTACCTTAAATTCATGAATGGCTAAAGCCTCTGCTGTATTTAGAAGTCTGTAACAAAGAAAATGCGGCCGGCAAGTTAGCATGGATTCGGTAGATGATCTTAAAATCATGGGCGTGGTTGGTAGAGTGGCAGGATTCGGTTAGTTGTTGTTCTAGAATGGAGCTTCGCACACTTTTCCTTTACCCCTTGCTGGAATATGTTCTCGTATCCGTGTTGAAAGCGGCGTTCTCTGGCTTCGCTCAGTGTACTTTGCTCCATAAAAGCAGGTTAACTGATAGCTGCAAATGGAGGCAGCCAGATGGGGGAGCTTATCTTTTACAGAGACATCGAGAACAACTTGCTGCTGGTGAACGCCATTTGTAATTTTACTGCAAAAAACGTCTTGCTGATTGATTTAGATTGCATTAGATTGCATGAAATTATTATATTTATTGTGTATACTGAATTTTCAAGATGTATATTACGACCACAAATCAGTGTCATTAGCGAGTATATGTCCTAATACCTAACTTAGTACACCCCGATGGTCACGACTTCCCGTTAGAACTCCAAGGAATGAAGCTCTGAGACCGAAGACATTGGCTAGCGGTTGCACTATGTCGTGAACTGGCAGAAGTTAGAATTCATGGACCATTGGATCGGGTCCCAGTGGCTTAATGGTCTACGAGCTAGCTTCTCTTGTAACCAGACGGTGCTGGATTCGAACCCCGGTGAGTGCGTTCTGCTGAAGAGTCCCAAAATAGGCTGACGAAACAGCTGTCCAGTACTCCCAGGTCCGCTTTTATTATTATTACTATTATTCGACAAACTATGCTACTTATAATAGTAGTTTATGTTTACCAAAAATGACAATAAATCATTCAAAAAATAAATAAACAAATTAAAAGTTTTTATCATACGTCATCATCATCATCATCATGATTATCATCATTATCATTACTATTTAAAAATTGCAACCGATTAAATTAAATTTGTTTGAATGCATCGTTTAATGTTGTTGTTGTTGATCAATATGTTCAATGATTAATGTACAATCTCTGTATACAAAAGTGTATGCGTATATTACATCTTAGAAAACAGAAAAAGAAGAAACAACTTTCTTTTCATCCTTTTTTTCATCTACACGGATAGTATTCAAATTCATTATTTTATTTTGGGTAACATTTGTGATAGTATACATGAACTTAGGTAGGGATGAATACAGCTCTACAAGCAAATTGAGTGAGGGAGAGATAGATAGGGAGAGAGAGAGTGAGTGAGAGAATGAGAGGGGTTGGAAGACGATGCATCAGCGGGAGAGAGAGAGATGTGAACTGATTACTACTCAGTTTTACAAAAATGAGAATATTAGTTTTAATCGTGATAGTACACATAAATCTGCGTGTGTGCGTCTTTCAGAGAAGACTGAAAGCACCGATTTGAACAAGATTTAAAGGATATAAGTTGATGTTACTGTTGTAACTATGAGAAAACAAGTATATATGTATATATTCTCTGTTACAGCTCATCTATAAAGATCAAAGAGAGTTGGTTACGGCAGAAAGTGTGTTGTATTCGACTGGTTGGTGATAGCGCTGCTAATCGGTAAAAAGTATATATTATTATATATTATTGTTTCCTTCAATTCCTAGAGGAACATAGGGTTTCAGCCGTGCGTCTCCATTGCGTTCTGTTCTCTGCTAACGTTTTCACCTGGCTCCAAGTCTGCCCACATGCTTTCATCTCCTCTTCACATGACCTCCTCCAAGTCACCCTAGCACTGATGACCATTTCGTCGCTTCCCTTTCGGGTTCCACTCGAGCAATGGCTTGTCTAGTGATGTCACTTGATGGTTTCCTCAGAGTATGGCCAATCCATCTCCATTTCTTCCTGCCTATTTGATTCACATTCGGTTCCTGCTGTGTTGGTTCGCTCCCAGAGATCCTTGTTGCTGATCTTATCTGGCCGGCCATCTGATCTCGAGTATTGAGCGAAGACAACTGTTGTTGATGAAGGTCTGTAGTTTGTATGAGGTGCTCTTTATGACGCGCATTGCAAGTCTCTGATCCGTATAGCAAGTAGCATTGACTTCACATTGGAGTTGAAAATCCGGATCTTATTTTTGATGCTGAGTAGTGCTGTTGACCTCCACACAGACTTGAGTGTAGTGAAAGCTTGCCTCGCTTTTCCGATTCTTGCTTTGATATCCTCGTCAGTTCCGTCCACCTGTAGTTGAAACGATGCTTCCCAGGTAGGTAAAAGAGGTTGTTTCTTTCATGTTCCTCCCATTTATGCTGATCGTTGTCTGTTGTTACTACTTGTGGTGCTGCCAAGGAATCTTCATCACTTCAATCTGTTTTCTCTATGTTCACCTGAAGTCCTATCTTTGATTCTCGCCTTTTCTGCCAACTTGTTGCTTTTCGCTTGCATATCTTCCAGTTTGTGAGAAATCACACATATATTATCGGCGAAGTCCAGATCCTCCAAGTTTTTCGTGTGGGTCTATTTTATGCCTGTTTCTTCATTCCGCGCTGTTTGTCGCATTATCCAGTCTACTGTAATCAGGAATATCATTGGCGGTAGTAGGCAGCCAGCTTGTCTTACTCCAGTCCTCACTATAACAACAAAAAATGACTAGAGGCAAGAAGACAGGGGAGAGACTAGAAGAGTTGTGCTTGTCGTCACAAATAATTCTTTCAAACAAATTACTTAATACATTGTAAGAATTAGTTTATAGGGATTTTGAGGTAACTCTAAACTCTATAGCAGCTCAAACCGAAACTGCCTAGTGAACGGACAAATGACCTTGAGCAACCAACCAGGTGACTCTGTTTTATCCGAACGTAATTATGAATGCGCTACACCTTTTGCATTGCAGATTCGCTCCAGGTCTTGTTTACTACTGTTTGGAGAACGGACTGATGGGAAGGTTGAAAAATTGTCAATGTGGAGGAGTCATGCATATACAGCAAAGATACACTAGCTGCATTGATGGGTTTGTTTACAGGTGCAGTGAGTATTATTATCATTATTGTTCCCTTGAGTTCCTAGTGGAACATAGGGCTTCAACTGCACCTCTCCACTTGCTTCTGTCTTCTGCTGTACTTTTCACCTGCATCCATGTTGTCCCATACTGTTTCAACTCCTCTTCACACGATCTCCTCTATGTCACCCTTGCACGCCCCACTCGCCGCTTCCCTTTCGGGTTCCACTCGAGCAATAGGCTGATGCGCGATGTCACCCAGTGGCCTCCTCAGAGAGTGTCTAATCCATCTCCACTTTCTCCTGCATATTTGTTGAGCGATTGGTTCTTGTTTTTATTTTGTCCCATAGTTTCTTGTTGGTGATTCTTTCCGGCGGCCATCTTATCTTCAGTATAGAACGAAGACAGTTGTTGATAAAGGTCTGCAACAGGCTGTTGGAAATGCTCATTCTTTGTGACCCGCCAAGTTTCTGATCCGTACGTGTAGAAGAACTGACTTGACGTTTGTTTGTATTGAAAATCCGAATTTTGTTGTTGATGTTGAGTGAGGGAGATTTCCAGATTGGTTTCAGGTTGATGAATGTGTTTCTCGCCTTCCCGATTCTCGATTTGACATCCTCATCAGTGCGTTCCTTCTGTAGTTGAGACAATGCTGCCTAGATAAGTGAATGAAGTAACTCTTTCAAATCCCTCCCGTTGATGGTGATTGGCGCAGTGAGTGCCAAAGCAGAAAATCAGTTTGAGAAGGTATGTTGTTCTTTTATTTTGTTTACAGATTCCTTAGGTACTTTTTTCGCATAGTCTAAATTACGTTTAACGAAAATTTTAATGATGTTTCATTACTGCGTACTGAAAAGACCAGTAACAGCAACACCTTATGAAACAGAAAATTTGGTACCAGTACTGCAGAGATCTATCATCGTGGAAAATGAACTCGCTGACTCAAGTACTTGGCGGAGTTGGCGTCATCGTTCACTTTGATGAGACTATGTTCATCAAAATGAAATAAAATCAAGGCTATTCAGCTGTAATCTATAAATGTTATTGATTCGATGTTATTTAAACATTAATGTTGTTCATAACACTAATTCGTTTATTCACTATAATGTGTATATATAACTATAGAATCTAATGATGAAGTTATCGGAAAGAGTATTCTTTGTTCAGTATCCATTCTTTAAAAAATTCTTTCTTGTCTATTACATGAAGGGCAGGGTGCAGCAGGGAGCAATAAAGCAGACAGGGGAAACGTTAAACTTTTGGTGAATACGCCAAATTAATAAAAGAACTACACAGATAAAGGACACTGCCATTATTGTTGTGTTTTTTTGTTCAACCTGGAGAAGGAAATGAGACTTTTCCAAAAATAGAAATAGCGCAAGGAGGAAGTTGGAGACGTCAGACAGACCAACAGTCAGGAGACAAGTAAATAAAATTGGAGGAAATAGACTGTTGTCTTATCTAATTATCTGTTTGTTTTTTTTGTATTGTACGTTGTTTGTGACTTTCTTGAAATTTATTTTTTGGGGGAAAACAAGCAGAAAAATTAACAGAGGAAAAAACATGCCATGGTTTGGATGTATACAGACTGATAAACATCGCTTTTGACGTTTAACATGGTTTAAAATAGAACGGTAGGAAAGATTTTATTTTTCTTTATTGGTACACTAAACATTATAGGTGAAATGATAATCAATATGTAGATTTAAGATGATTGGAAACAATCGGCAGGAAGCTGTAGACTCAGGTTTCATGCTAGTTAGCACTCGTCACCAAGGCGAGCCTGACTATGTCACTGAGTGACTCCAGTCCGAATCTCAGAAAGAATATGAGTTTCTTCAAGGTCACGTATATGCCTTGCTGACCGACTGATGGGT